CCCCCCCCCCTCTCCATCTTCCTTTTCATGATGGAAGCAATAGCCTCATTCCTACGCAAAGATCCCTTAATACACAGGCTACCAGAGGTCAGTGTAGGAACAGCCCACCACCTACAGTTCCCGACAGCAATAATGTTTGCTGATGATCTCACGGTCCTCATAAGAGCTTCAGACTCGTCGTTCAGTGCGTTAGTAAGAGCAACGGAAGCGTTCAGACTGGCATCAGAAATGAAGATTAATTGGAAGAAAACAATCGGCTGGTGGCTATCAGAGGAGGAAGTTCTTCAGCTTCAAGGCCTCGAGGCAGACATGACATGGGAGACACCAGAGGCCCCTACGCGGTATCTAAGCATCCTGCCGACAAAAGACAGCTTCGCCCCTCAGATGGCCCAAACTATACTCATCAAACAAATTAACAAACTGGGTAGATGGGGTAGCACATTCACATCATTGTTGGGCCGAGCTCTAGCCATTAACACATGTATTTTTGCAATGATGTGGTATATAGCGTCAATCTGGACAGTTCCGGACCATACAATCAAGGAACTTAACCGCAAAGCAAGAGCGTACTTGTGGTCGGGAGACCCCAATAAAGAGAACTGTATACCAAAGATATCCTGGCATTACATCACAAGGAAACCAGCCAGAGGAGGTCTTGTATCATAGACCCCAAACAGGAAACCAAAGCCCTATAAGTTAAATGGATAGTCAAACTACTGACTAAACCTGGTACGGCATGGAATAAACTGGTCTTGGATAGCATAAGGGACGTAGCACTGACAGCCTCACCAGCAAACATGTCCGGTCTGTTCTGGGTAATGACTAAGGAATGGAGCCCAAGTACAGGGCGCAGAAATCAACGAAGAGGAAGCGGTCCAAAGGAAGCCAGGCCCACCACACCATATTGGACTGCATTGCTACGGATATGGCGGGAAATCATGCCAAAGAAGGTGGGTAGACCCAAATCCAAGGAAGAGATATTGAGGCAACCCCTGTTTGGTAATCCATGGGTGGGAGACGGAAGTGATCACCATCTATCCCTTAACCCTAGAGGAAGGAGATGGCTATCGTGGATCAAACACGGAGTTTGGAAAGCGAGCCATCTATGGAACCAGGAGAAAAAAGGACCGGGTGACAGAACAGGGACTTGCCTCCCAGCTCAAAGGATGTCACAGACGAGACGATAATTTACAATCCATTATTAACTGCATCCCAGAAGGCTGGAAGGTGCTGTTGAGCGAAGCCTCAACTTGGAAGTCGGGCGAATGGGGAATGAGGGTGCAGGATTTAACCCCCTCAGGAGCCTATCAAGTTTCCCACAAACAGCAAGTGTCGGATACCCTGGCTGTATTTAGCATTTACCTCTTTTCCAATTACCCCCTCCACGCAAGGGCTCCCATCTATCCTGGATAAGGTGGAAAGAACAGTCCTAAACCCTTTTGTTCTCAGAAAAGTAAGAGTGCTGGGATCATGGCCAAAGACGATCTTCAGAATAGATACGGCGATTCAAGACCTGGAATTTGATCCAGCAGAGTGGGCTTAGACACCAGACAGAAGCAGAAGTCTTAAAACGAATATACCAATCCAGGAATACACAGTCAAACTGGTATACAACTTACTCCTTAAAACAAAGGATCCCGACCCAACGATCAAGAACAGATGGCAGAAGTTAATAGGTCAGGACGCTAGTCAGATCCCACAAATACCATGGAAAAATTTCAAGTCAATCCGTCCGGTCAAAATCAGAAGCCTCCAATGGCTCATCTCGTACGTGGCTCTACCGGTTAACCAGTAGCTGCATGTCAGAATAAGTAAGAATGACCCCAACAGCTCAGATTTATGTACGGTATGCTCAGAAAATGAACCAGAAGATATGCTACACAGCCTGATACGCTATAGAGAGGCGACGGAATATTGGGCGAGGGCCTCGGATCTCTGGTATTCCCTCTTCTCGACTCCCCTCCCTGAGCACCCCATCCAACTCCTGCTATGGAATAGCATCCCAGCTCAATTCCACAAGACAGAAAATGTGGTTCGGAATGATCAGAACGGTAAAGCTGTGGGCCATCTGGAAGGAAAGGTGCTGCAGAACCATTGAGGGAATCTCAACTCCAAGGGAGAAGGTATGGGCGGAGGCAAGGACCTTGATTCAGGCAGAGATTCTTTGTAAGTGGCACGAGACGAGACACTCTATGCCAGATGACGAGGAGGAACAGAGAAGAATCAAGGCAAAATTCACTAAGGTGTGGCTCGCAGGAGGCAGAGTAGCAGATATAAAAGACACTTGCATACGGTGGAAAGACTGGCACAACTCCGAAGCAGGGTGGACAAGGCAGAGATTCCAGCCAGCAGACGGACAAGATCCATCACAGGCCACGTAATATTGAAAGGCAAATTCTGCGAGTCATCTTTTGTAGCTTCTTTTACGTTTCTTGCTCTTTATTATTTATCTGACAGGTTCATACAGTGGACCTGAGAGGAAAGGTGGAAGTAAGGCAAGCTGACAGTCAATCCTACACGATGCTGGAGCAAACAATGCTGGTCAGGGTTCCTTCGGCCAGATGGAAGGAAGCGTTGAGTGTGTCTCATGATGTAATACTTGTTCGGACTTGCTGGTGGAATAGGAACCGGACTGATGCTCCCCGAATGGAAATGGAGCCAGGGCCATAAGGTCCTGTTTTATGTTAAAAAACAAAACAAAACAAAACAATGACTGTGGTGAGGGTTGTGCTTGACAGGCATCCAGCAGTACGAGGCAGGCATGAATTAGCCGTGTGGGGCAGGGCAGCCTTTTGTAATACTGACTGGGCTTGGCCGGCCTCCACTTGCCTCCTGGGAGAGCCGAGGCCTCTCGATCTGTGCGGTCCAGATTTACTGTTGGCCAATGTGTGCGTGGAACCAACTCAGCTCAGCCTTGGAAATTTCTGGAAACAGCACTCAAGCCATTGCATGCGTGTGAGATCTCTAGCCGCGATTGACTCCTGAGAAATCCTTGGCTCTTGGAATTGTGCGGGAGTTGGGCCTGACTCTTTATTTTTCCTACCTAAAGTCTATTACTGGTTCTGGGGGGTCGACGGGTTACCTTTTTTGACCCTAAAAAATCCAATACCTTTCGACTCAAGGACATTCCGGTGGCCGTTCAAGGGCTGTGGATGCCACTATGACCCCTGGACATGGACTGGACCAAACGCTATGGCCCTAGGTTCTTTCTGAGCGGATTTTGGACATGGACCAAACGCTACGACCCTAGGTTCTTTCTGAGCGGATTTTGGACATGGTTCTTTGCACCGGCACAGCACGCACTGTCTGTCTTTGAGATCCGTGATGACTGTTCTTATGACAAAAGTGACGGGCATGCTCGTGTGGGTCCTTTGAGGCACAGCTGGTGAGCTCGCCCATTTGTATTTTGGGAGTCACTGAGATGTGCTGAAATTTCTGACACGAACTCGGCACTGCATCAACTGTCTGTCTGTCATGTCTCTCTTAATGTTGAAGAACTGGAATCATGCAGTCAATGGGAGACAACGTATTTGGGTTGATCAATGGATTTGCACGATCCCCACGACTAGTTGCATCCAAAATCAGGCAGGCTCGGGCAAACACGTCACTGGGGGAAGGAATGGTCAGTGAGGAAGCACTGCTGGTCTTTGACGTATATGGAAAAATCATGGTAGGCCACTAAATGGGGTGTTGTCATTCACCTCGCTTCTTTGCTCCTCCCCCCCCCCCCCCCCC